CTGTAAGGAAACCATCATACTATTATGAGTTATCTATCTCCATATATTGATATTGGTACGACTCCTTTCTCTGTTATTATTTCCTGTTTAAATATTTTGTTCTATTTTTAACTAAGAGAAAATAAATATTAAAAATAGTCTATAGTATCCGTGAGTAAATTTTAGGTTTAGCAAATATAAAAATCATATTTTTATGTTATAGCTATAGTTTATATAATTGCGCTCCATAGCAAATTTTATGTTTGCTATGGCTATTAATCTCTATATTTTGGTATACATATACATGAAAATCTGTATTTGTATATTTCAGTATAGTTATACATAAAAAATCTGTATATGTATATGTAACTGTATTTTTGTATATATATTTTTTTGTTGTGATTTTTAGTCGTATATGTATATGTGTATTATATGTATTTAAATATAAATATGTATATGTAACTGTATTTTTGCATACAAATAGATTTGTATACAAATCTCTCTCTCCTTTTATACAAACACAAATTATACATTGTATTTTGTATAATTTGTGTTTGAATAAAGCGAGAAAGAGAGAAAGAGAAAAGAGAACTGGCAGGGGAAGATTCGTATTGTATAATTATAATGTATAGGACGAAGATATATGTATTTGTATGTGTATATACAATTTTCTCTCGTTTTATACAAACAGATACACAATTTATATATTTGTGTTTGTATAAAGTGAGAGAGGAGAGGGAGAGTGGCGAGCGAGATCTGGGAGAGTGACGAACGAGATTCGCTCGGGAGAGAGGCCAGTGGCAAACTGTTTGCTACGGATTAGAATTAAATGAAACTATAGTTATATCATTTAATTTAAATTAATAATTTGTTGATTTATACAATTTTCTCTTTTTCAATTATATTTCAATCGATGGCTATATATTAGAAAATAACATTGCTCTAAAATTTGGACAGGCCGTGCAATTTCTACCAAAAACTTTTCTATTTGGGCCTATCCATTGGGAATTGACAGCTTGAAGGCCCTAAGTATTTTATGACCCAAAGGCCCAATTCAGATATGACGAGGACGATAATCACCTCTTTTTGTCGTAAAAATAAAAATAATTTATCAGAATCTTGTGGATTTGGATGAAGATTTTATATGGAACTTTTGTCTTGCTCAACATAAATATTTTAAAGAAACTAAGTAATCTGTGGGTTTTGAATTGAAGTTTTGCCTGTAAGAACTAAGTTATGCCTTTTATGCGTAACTTGTGGGTTCTAAAACTGAAGTTTTATAATTTATGGGTTCTCAACTAACATTTTGCTTCAATAGGTATTAGGTGGCATAACTTGTGTTATATTATGATATGTAAATATAAACTTATGCAAAGTAAAAATTATTTGTTATTTTAGTGTCATGGCACCTTAGACCACTTATTTCTTACTTATAATGCTAAAAGACAAAAATTAAAGACCATTAAATTTAAGGACATCGATTAAAAACCAGCCCAAAATAAGAACAATTTAAAAAATATTTTTAAACAACAATTAGTATTTAATCAAGCTTTTAAAAGTGATTTCTAAGTGTATTTTACAAAGTTTTCTATTTGTACTATAGTAGAATGATGAAACAAATACAGATGAATTAACTTAAAGAGAGAATTTATTTTTGTTGTTCTTTCATCAAGTGACAAGTCCAATCGAACAGTTAAATCTTATCATAGTGAAATGAAACATTATATTTGAACTTGTTTTTGCTTTAACTGTGATGAGCACAAAATGATATCAAAGAAAAAAATATATTGGTAGTGTAGAAGAAGAGCTGATAACACACAAAAACCTCAACAACTTAAAGCAAAAACCTTCCAAACTTGTTTTTCTTTATATGAACTCTATTATCTAATGGCATAAAAATGCACAAATCCTCCTAATTTTGGCATAATTTTTTTTTTTTTTCTGATGAGAAGAGGGAGCAGCCTCGGCCTGATCATCCAATTCGATCTGACAGACATGCATGATTCTGTAGTCAAAGCAAATTTCACAATGGGATGATCATGTTTTGTCCTCTTCCGCGTTTAGGGAACATGAATCTCCCACTGGAAAAAGATCTCTTCATCCCCATAGGAGTTGGCACACAATATGGTAATGTGTTTACTTCTTCTTCTTCCCCTACTTCTTGTCTTGATGTTCCAACATCTCTATCGTGAAACGGGCAATTCCCCATTTCACAATCTTCATCGTGATCAATCTTTAGTATATCAGCTATAGATAAAACACCTCGCGACACTTGATCCATTGATACTGATCTTCTTATTAGTAGATTCATATTTTGTGTTATTAGCCTCTTGGAAGGAACTCTACTTTCTACAACTTCTTCTTCATCATCTTCCTCTCTGACCCCCATTTCTATATCGTTTTCAGGTTGGTTTTCAGAGGATCTTTCGTTCATCAGAGGAGGTTCGATAACTGGAAGAGGTAATGGAGGTGGTACAGCAGTTACAAACACTATATTAGAGCGACAGAGAGGGCAATTGGAGTGAGATTTCAGCCATGTATCGATGCATGTCACATGGAAAGCATGGCTACATTTTGGTAAAAGTCTAAGGCTTTCATCATCTAGAAACTCACTCAGACAAACAGAACAATCTGTTCCCTCAGCTAATCCACTTCCTTTCTTGTACTTAAACACCATAATCGACTTGATCAGAGATTCGTCTAAACCTGTTGTGTTCACATTCCATGCTTCATGATTTGACGGATCATTCTCTTCTAGTTCTGAATCATTAAGATAATTCTCCCTACTTCTTAAACCAATCCTGTGTCCACAGCATTTTGACATTATGACATAGTAGCTAACTAGAAGGAAAGCACTAGTAAGAATTCCGATGATCCCGATAACTAGAGGAGAGAAATTTGGACCAGAATCATCATCGGCTGGGAAGTCAAATGGAGGTGGAGGGGGGAAGATTCTATAACACCATTGTGGGCAGTATAAACTGCAGAATCCTTGAGAACAATCCCTTGTGCTCATATGTGGAGGTGCCCAAGTTCTTGAACTGTTTACAGACACCATTTATCGAACTCAAGAAAAACAGACGAGAAAAAGAAACTTAACATCACACTTTCAAAGACAGTAATCTTGACACACTAAATAAAACAAAATTGAAATGAGGACTATTCCTAATATACTGATATAAGATGGAAGTGAAGAGCAATGGATGAATGAAACAGAGAGAAATTATGATGTTTGCCTTGAAAGGGTGAAGGTGAAAGAGGGGAGGCAGAGATAAAGTTGTTAAATGGAAAGAAAGGAGAATAATAAACCAGGAAGGGAGAATGCTTTGTGATAGGTATTTTACCTTTAGTTTTCTTTTCTTTTTTTCCCTTCTTCTTCTTTAACTTGCTTTATTATTGATAGTGGTCTGTTGACTAATCATGTTGATGGGGAACTCATCAAAGTAACCAATGCTTTGATTATGGTTTAAGCCACTTTAAACTAACTCTAAACAGTACCATATTACTTATATATATATATTGCATGAAATTCTGTGATTTTTATATTAAGATAACTAACTCACTAAGTTGACCTTCTAAGTATCTTCATCCATAAGCAGATCCATTCCAATCACTTCCATCAAGAAAGTAAACAAATCTTGTTATTCTAGCCACTAAATTCGATCCATAAATCTTTATGTATGATTTGTTTAGTTTTTAAATTATTTCATTAACTTATTGAATACACAAAGTAAGCACCATTAGAGAAAAGCACACTTGTAAAATCAACCAAAAGTATTCTTCATTATCTTTCTGACTGACATTGGAAGTGGGAATCTTGGCTATATAGCCACTTGAGAGAAGAAGTATATATTCTCTTTTTGGTTCTTGATAATATTTTGTCCAACAAACACTACTTTTTTAAAGTTTGATATTGTTTCTTTGGTCTTTCCTGTGTCTGGTTCTAAATATTGATCTAAATTCTGGCAGTGGATAGGGCGTAAATGAAGTGAGGTAAACTAAAGGAGCGAAGAGAATGTAATTGAACTGAAATTTACCAGTCATAAGGTATCTTTCCTGGATAATGTGGGTGAAAGAATTTAAGCATGGTCAATTATGTAGCATTTCCAAATTGTAATACCAAGAAATTCCTTCTCCTCGCACTCATTTATTTATTTTTTTGTAAAAAATCTCTACATAGGTTGTTGTATCAATACTTGCTTTTCTTTTTCCGCTGAACGTCCAAATAGCTTCTTCAGCAGGAGGTCAATAATCAGTATTCCATTGGTTTCTCATTTTCCTTTTACTTACCAAGTTCGATTGTAGTTTTGCAAAAGAAGAAGATAATACTAGTCTAACAAACTCAACCAATGCCTTTGAAGAACTCTTTGATTCCCTTAAGCAAAGACAGATTTCCACAGAAATTCATGCTTCAGAAAATGTAATGACTAATGTAATTTCCTAAATATCAAGGACATCAAAGATAGAAACAAGATGATACATTGAACACTTAATATTCCTGTTCTTGTATCTTGTCTATATACACCAAGGGAAAGATATGTTGGCATGATCATCAATTTCAAGAAGTCATAAGTGAGAAAAAGACATTACACTCATTTCATATGCTGCTGCATATCTCCCTTGTATAATTGTAATAAACACACTTGTAAGATAACAGAATGAAGGATGATAGTTTAGAGTTTGCCAAGACCAGCCAAAGCAACTCTCTTGAATCCATCACATATTACCTTTCTAGGGCAATCATTGATCACAGCAAACCTCCAAGATAACATGAACACGGTTTATCCACAAGAGTTGTATTTTAACTCATTTTTCCGGGTTCGATAGTGAACATCTCATTTGTAACATGAATTATATAAACATTTGGTGAAGATCCTCTCAATAAGCAGAAGAGAATACAGAAAATATAAGTGAAAATCATATAAAGGGTGTATTTTGTATGTGAAAATCGTATAATGTAATGCAAAACTTGACCAATGATACCTATCTTTACATTTTTCTCATGAAGATTGACATTAGATCAATAAACAGGGAAACAAGATAAAAGGCCACCAAAGTATGACCAAACAAACACGTCAAATAAAATATATTTGGAGTCTACAAAAAATCTGGTTATCATGTAACAGTCAGCAACTATGTGCATAAGTAGAAGAAAAGTCTGATTTAAACAGGACCTTGATGATCCATAGAAGTGTAATCAAGGGAGTCATCTAAGGCTCTTCAGGATTTTCCTGAGTCGGTGCTTCTTCCTTGTTTTCAGATCCATCAGCATCCCTTTCACTGAATTTCAAGCGAATTGGCCGGCCCATCAGTTCCTGCATTTTTAAATTAAGATGTCAAACATACATCACAGTCTTGACATTTACAGTACAAGGATTTCAAAAATAGTAATAAATATATATTTTCCATAAGTCTCTCTACATATACACAGACAGCACTTCCCACAAGTATGGTTTTTTCTTATGATCAATTACCATACTTGTGTTCCAGTATGTACACATCTAATGGAAGGGAATTTTTGAAGGAGCGTCAGATAAAATCAGTGGAAAATCCAGATTTATAGCCATTGGCAATTCTAATATTTTCAAGACTACTGGTGAAGGCATCTGAGACATAACCATGTTTGTGCATGATCCAAACAAAACTCAAGAACTATATATGCATTCGTAATGCAACACAATTTGGTGACATGTTTATAAAGAAATTACACTACTTGAAATTACTTAGAGAACCAGTAGTAGGCTATCCAACCCATGCACCTCAAAGATACTCCATGCACTTTATACCTTGAATCCGAACAATACAACCCAAGGCATTTTCTTGTCAATTTTTTTTGCAAGTGTTAGACTATATCTTATCAAAATTTACACTGTGACCAATGCTGCGTACAATATGGTTCTGACACTAAGTCCCAGTTTCAATGAAGTCTCTGACAAATTTCAATTAACATATAAACAATAAAAATGAGATTGTGTAGCTTGTGTAGGTATACCTTTCCATCTAAAGCAGATACTGCAGCCTCTGCTTGTTCTTTTGTGTCAAAGGATACGAAACCATACCCAGCAGCTCTTCCTGAAGCATTGTCAAAAATAACCCTAGCTGAAACTGGATTGTAGTTTGCAGAGAAGAATTCTCTTAGTTGGGTAGACCTCACTTTCCATGCAAGATTAGAAACATAAAGTTTATGTCGTGCTTCCCCTTGGGGAGGAGTTGAAGGAGGAGGAGCTCCTGGAGGTTTCTTAAATCGCTTCGCAAATTCTACCCTGATGATTCTTCCTGATACTTCCTGTACCACCAAAACATGGACAAAGAAGGGTGAAGACACAAACAGGAAAAGGGTAAAACAAAAACAATAACGCAAAGAAACATACACATTAAATGAAAGCCAGAGGTTGCATTATGAAAAGAGTAATCACTTAAGACAAACAAAAGGGAAATCTAAGCACTAATTTCATGCTTATGTACTTAGCTTAAGAAGTGAGATTTCATCCAGCTCATTTGCAACTAGGATGCATGTAATCTTTAACATAAAAAGTGTATCTCAATCCTCAGAGACAGAAGTAACCCATTCATTGTTCAGTGAATTAGCTTCTGTTAGTGACTTTTAGATGTCAGTGAGATACAAGCTCTTCATCTTCAAATCAAATGATCCATGTCACATTATGACCCAAAAAAAGTTGATCTCTGCATTTGCATTCCTTTAAGTGTGATAGCAAGTATTTTTTCTTTATTTATCAGAATGAATGTGATAGCAAGACTATTTTCTTTTCTTTTCTTTTTTCAGAATGAATGTAATACCAAATGTTCTCTACTACTGGATAATGTAAAGCAACATCCAACCAAGCAAGAATAGAACTATACAAGCTGCACAAAGAAAAACATCAGATTGCACAGATCTTTATAATTACTTAAAGACCAAAGAAGTACTTTAGCTTAAGCAACATTAGACAAGTACATAATCCATCAACCCCTGCATTATTGAGAATGCTTTATTCAGTATTTATAAATGTTTACCAAAAACCATTTCTTAATATTTTAACACAAGGTACCTCATGTTTCTATATTGTCCTTTACTAGACATCTTTGCTTCTCTTCCCCTCAAACTTAATTCTAGAAAAATTTGAACAATATCTTCCACTACAAAGACTACCAATCTCATAGGAATTTTACTGTTACATTGACCTCAAAAAAATACACAGATAATGCTAACTACAAACAAACATCAATTATTTCTTTCTAGCATAATATCAAATGCTTCATCATGTTTTATAACCAATAAACTTACATAAGAATCCAATTTGTCAATTGCAGCTTGAGCTTCTTCCCCAGAAGACATTGTCACAAAGGCAAATCCTCTACTCTTTCCATCTTCGGTCTTAATAATCTACTAATTCAACACCCAAAAGGTAAAAAGTTAACACCTTTTTTCTCAACAACAACCAGATAAACATACACAAATTCAAAAAAAAAAAAAAAAGAATACCTCAACATCATCAACAATTCCACATTCAGCAAAGATGTTCTTGATATCAGGAACAGTCAAAGACCATGGTAAGTTTAGAACAAAAAGCTTTCTTCTTTGATTATTCTTCTGGGGTTTCTCTTCTTCATCTTCTTGTTGTACTGTTACAGGTTCAGTGACTTCAACTGCTGAGCAGTGAAGTTGGGAGCATTGTTTTCTTGAAAGAAGAGGAAGAATGGATTTGAGAGAAAGATTAAGGGAATGGTTGTAATTTTGGAGTTTAATTGAATTGGGAAACAATGGGAATTTGAGATAAGAGGAGGAGGAAGGAGGAGGAGATGAGAAAATTGAGGATGCTGCTAATTCAATTGCAGCCATTGTTTGTGGAGTTTCGAGCAAAGGGAAGGTCACAAAAGATACGGCAAGGTTATAATAGTCATTTCACCCGTTTTACTCCCTCAGTTTGGAGCATTATTGACCACACTATAATTATGATAACAAACGCAAAATACATTACCCTTATTTAGAAGTGGGACTTAGAAAGGACCAACACTGCATCTTTTCATTGTACTAAAGGTAGTACTAATTGTACACCAACTAGGACGAACGCTGCAGCTTAGTATTGTACACAAAGTAATATGAGTTGTACTAGAAATGTGTACCTATTTCATTGGCTATTCAGTACTTTTATCTTTTGTGGGCCTATTTGTTTAGCACGTGTATAGGCTTCTTTTTCCCTGCCAACGACGACAATACCGAAGGCTTTCAAACTTCTTTCTACTCTGCAATCTCTCTTCTTCCTGCTAAGCTTCCCTTTTTCTCTTCTCCGGCTTTCTGTCCTATTTTCCTCTTTCACTTTGCTTTCTTGCTCTCTTTTTTTTTTCTTTGCTTTCACATCATCTTCCTCCAGGAATTTTGGTTAAACTTTGTTACACTGGGATCTACTGGACGCCGTAAGCTTTGGTTTTTTTTTTTGGGGATTTTGGGTTCTGTTTGTTTGATTTTATGTTCGATTGTTTTGATATTGCTTTCAATTTTTGCTTCTTTGTTGGTATGTGGTTGTAGGTATGTTGCATGGACAAAATTCCTATGTTGAATCCAGTTCTTCATCTCCTATGCACCAGACTGTAGACCCATCTCAATTTGGCAGTGACGAATCCAATTAAAAGAGGTACAACGATTTTTTTTTTATCACATATTAGCAAAGACCTCTCAACTGGTATACTGTAAATTTCTTCCTGTTTCCCCTTTTTTTCATTTTGAGAAGTTCCAAACTTAGGGCATTTACTTTAATTCGGAGCAGCTTTCAAAATCTTTTGTATTTGCGCTTCTCTGCTTTCAATTTTCAAAATTTTGTTATGGTTTTTGTTTAACATGTGTGTGGCGTGCAAATATGCTATTTTGATTATTAGTTTTGATTCTAAAAGCTTGCTTTATTATTTAGTAGCTAATTTTTAGAAGTTGATGTTTTATGAGAAGAATTTCTTCTTATACGCATGTTATATAAATTTTTATGCGTTTTTCATTGCCTAATTGCATCATGTTAAAGGAGAAATTCATATGTCTATGTAGTTGTTCTGACTTTCAAAATTGTAATATTTCTCACTGCTCATAAATGCACAGTCCAATGTTTATTTTGAATTATAGTTTCTTTTTGGATATTCTATTCACTTGTTTATTAAGTGCATAATTGTCATACTGATAGGCCAATAGTTTTTGATAATATAGTTGAAAGAACAAAATAATACTATTGTTTTCCTTACTGGTTCTTCCCTTTTCTTAATCTTCTTCCTTCAATGTATCTTCCCCTTTGGTGCATTTACAAAATACTGTTGGTTCTGGATTCTAGAGAGTAGTATAATTTCTCTGTTCTTATATTTTATTAGAGGTGAAATATCAATTTAAATTTCGAGCACCAAGTTCTAAAATTTTAATTGATCCTGGAGTTCTACGTCATACGTGAAAGTGGAAATTTGAAACGACATCATGACACACCTCCATAGAATGAAGAAGGTATCATCGAATAAGTAAAGGTGAAGTTTTTTGGTTGTGTCTCATTGATAAAAGTTCTGAAATTTTACTATTCTCCATTCCTATTGTTGTGTCAGATGAAGGAACATGACATGTTTTGCAATAAGCTTATTACACTTCCATGAATACTTCGAGATTTGTTAACTAAATGAGATACTATTGTTTCATATATGTATATTTATGAAAATAGAGTAATGCACCTGTTGTTTCAATTGTTCTTTGGTGATTTCTCGAAACAAAAAAAATGAACGAAAAACCTGTTGGTATTATAGGATTTCTGTCGACTTTATTGGAACTTGCTTCCTCTTTCTGTGGTGTTACAAGTTGAAAAACAATGTTGATGCGCTCCTGAACTTGAAAACACGAAGGAACAACAACTTGCACATAGAAATATGCTATGTCGTACTAGATATGCACAAATATCACCAGAAAGAAACCAACTATTTCTATCGCAACAGAAAGCTAAAACAGCTGAATAAAAAAAAGGGGCGACTCTTGCAGAATTCAAATAATACACTGTCCTCATCACAAGTTCAGGGTCATGACGAATATCAAAGTGCGCTTCCAACTTCTAATCCTTCGTTAACTAGAGACAACGGTCAGAAAAGTTAAATTTTCATATAATGTTGTTTCTGTGTATATATAGGTATACCTGCATACATAAATTGATTTACTATCGTTTACATTACTTTATCTTCCACCATTTCGGAGGACATGCTTCCGCAACTACACAAACAACTACTTGTGCCTCGATGTTTAAAGTAGGTGGTGGGGAAGGAATTGGAAAATTCCGGATAGAAAAAACTCAGTTGGATATGGTAAGTACTTTACATGTTATATGGTGATATTGAGTAAAAATCAGTTCTCTTCTTTCAGACATAATTACCCCAGCTAATGTAAGGATTTTGTATGATTTGTTAAATTCTTTCAGACATAATTACAATCTAGCTAATGAAAGAATGTGGTTATTTTTTAATCATCCCAAATGTCATTCAGTTGGATGTCGTCTGCATTTTATTTCACTAGGAATATAGATTTTATTTACTTAGAGAGGTTTCAAATATATTGCTTCACTACTTTTTTTTATAAAAAAAAGCATGTTGTTTCAGTGTTAATTATAGAATCCAACACAAAGCTCTCTAAACTACTAACTAAATCATGTCTTCTTTTGAAGTAAATTTGTCAGCCTAAGAATAATATCGTATCGTATGTTAGCCTCAATTGAAGGGGAAATGACTAATTCTTCTAAACATTTTAAAAGACTAAGCTATTTACCTTGATTATAACTATTGTTTTGTAAAGATATACCCCTGCATATGGAAAATGGGGTTGCAATTCTCAAAGTAAAATTGAAATTGGCTTCACGACAAAACTCAAAAAGATCTTGGTAATTTACAGTCTGCTGTGAAGAAGAAAACATACAACTATTTTGTAAGCTTTCTTTATTCATGATTATTGTTTATCCCTAAGTTTTTTTCAATTTAAGACAATATTAGCCATTCATTGAGTCATCAAACTTTGTTATGAAATTTGGAGCTTTATGGATCATCGTCCTCTAAGTTTTCACTTTTCTTTTTTTTTCTCCTAAATTCCACGTCCAACTTCTTAAGGAGCTCAAGAGGAATTCTATTATTGTCACTATTGGTCAGGTTGGTGTATTCTAGGCTTTTGAGGAAAGTTCCCTTGTGCCCATGCAGTTAGCTTGACAGAAACATAGCTACATATGTAATGTTCAAGTTTCAAGACGACTATCCTAAGGTTTCAGGTTTTATCAGGTTTGATTACTAAAATAGCTCAAAGTGAGAGTATATAACTTTCAAGTCTATTTTTTTTACTGCTGATACCTTTTTTTTTCTCCAATAAACCATCCGTGAGGATATCAATAGCTTGTTGCAATCTGTGTCACATGTAAATTTAGCACTGCTTGCAATTCGGTCCGTGAGATACTAGGTTGCTGCTAACCTACTCAATATCCAAGTTATCGTGCACATTATGGACAAATAAAGGTAAGTGATTATTCTACTATCCAATTTATTTTATCTTCGTATCTATATTTACCAACTAGACTATGCTTGAGCTTCTATCATATTCGTCTCCTAAATTTGTCTTAGATTGTACATGTAAGATAATTCATTTGCAATCTAAACATTAGTACAACGGGTTAACCAATAGAGAACCCTCCTAGTCATAGGTCTCCTTAGCAAATAATCTTAATGACTCCTTTTGGCCTTCAGTTTTGTTATACCTGACGAAATATTTACTGAAATATGCAGGTTAGAGTTCTTTGTTCTCTCTTATTTATAGTACTCGAGTCATCATTATGCATTTTTGTTACCTTACTCTATCTTGGGATAATCTTCAGTTACTATGTTTGTGGATTTTTCTTTGTTTTTGTGTTTGTTCTAGATAAATCAAGTTTATTGGAAGTTCGGGAGAGAATTATACTCTCATTATGCTCATAGCTCTTTTGTTATTATGTTCCTTAATTGTCTTGCTGGTAGTTTGTCATGTTAACAATTCTTTGAGTTTTATACCCCGACCTCCTGTGCTATCTAAATTATTTTTTCAAGAGAATTAACCTATATTAAAAAGTTTAGAACTAGTGGTTTAACTCAAAATCACATAATTGAAAAGCCACATCACTAATACAAGAATTATCTTATTATTTGAGATATTGATACCTCTATTTATTAAAAATATAGATATTTTTCAATGAATGAAAAGCTTTCAGAATTAAAGCAGCTCTTCGGTCAAGATTACTAAAAGACCAAGAAGAAGTGTATTTAAAAATTAATGACACAAAAGCATAGTGAAAGTTCACAACTTTGTTTGCCTGTATGTCCGTAATAACATGGATGAACACGATTTTCCCTTTGTGTGCGAGTCCATGCAACTCACTGGAAAATTATGGTCAATACTTGATCTATATGCAAGAACTACTTCGGTAAATTTTGTTATTTAAACAGTTCACGAAAGATAATTCAATTTCTTACTTGCTATTTTTTCCTTCTGATTCATTTGGATCCTTAGGTATGGAATGAAAACAAATATATCTCTATTTGACAAAGCCAATCAAGTTGTGGAACTGTACTGGGTATGTTATTGTTGTTATTGACAGAGGTGATCAAGTTGAAGAATGAGCATATTTGGTGGAGCTTTTTCTAAAATAATAGATGTAAGCTCCCCCCCACCAACCCCACCCCACCAACAATTTCATGGCAGTTAATATTTTTTCGTTCCTTTGCTGTTAGATTTGTGTGTTCTTGGTTGAATTACATAAAATTACTTCATTGTACAATTTTTTTTTGGATCAGGTGCTTGTACTTTGTTCATTAGAAATTACAGGTAT